TTCATTAAATTACAATAAGTAGGTATTTATTTTTTTTAATAGAAGAACTATGTCACTAATGTCATTAATTGCTATAATTACCAGGGTGACCGCGTGGAGGTTGATAAAATAGAGTACACTTGTATCAGATCAATCTAATTAATATTTCCCTCTTCAAGTTTCGACGAAGTTATGAGCGAACAGATAAATATACTGTATAGTACTTGCATACCTGTCAAAATCTCTCTATTTTGCCGTCGTCGAGTAAAAATTATGCATTGCAATTCGTTCCAAATAAGAGTATAATACAAAATGATGAAATTTTACTGTTTGCAAAGACTATGTAATTAAAAGCAATTATTCGAAAAAATCGATAAATCTATGCATTTATTTTTAATATGGTAACACTTACTTTAAATAAGTATTACTGGAATAATATGGTTTTCTTGTTTAGCTGTTTTATATTTACTTAAACTTTTTTTTTTTATGTTTAATTTATCATAATAATATTGTAAGTACTTATTATTTGAAAATATAAAATAAACATTTAAAATACGGCGATACAAATGAAAACAGCGCCATCTATGAAAGTATTTTGGAAACAATAAGCCCCAATTAGCAATGATTAAATTGTAAACAAATACAGGGCAACAACAAAATGAGTAAATATATGAAAATTACTTTTCAAAACGCATTATTTCATTTTAATATCTATATATGACTTTTTAAAAATAGATTAAACCTTTTTAAAAACATAGTTTTGGGTTTTAAACGATTACAAAAACAATGTTGAATTCCATTCGATACCAATGACGCCATCTAAATCCGTTTTTCGAACTAAAAATGGCTACTATGCCATTTTATCAGCCCACTGCTAATATTAAGTAATTTAAAAAAAAAACAGCTCAAAAATATAACAATCTTTTATTTTCTAATGTTTTAGAGATGACAAGGAACGTAAAATTCAAATATATTATATATTTTCCTTATGTGAACTAAAGAGTTATTAACCAAATACATTCATTCATTTAATAGAGAATGGCAACACTGTCCACACAGCGAGCAAAATTGCCAGTATACGATATCGTTTCAATCTAATATTAAGTAATCTAAAAAAAAAACAGCTCAAAAAATGCGGTACAATAGAATACAATAAAAAAATAAATCAATCAAATCAGTATTGATGAACAGACAACAGAGTTCTTAACAAAATACATTAATTTAATGGAGAATGGCAACACTGTCCACACAGCAGTGTTCGATGTTGGAATAATATTGTTTTCTTTTTTTTTTTTTTTTTTACTTGTTGACTTTTTTAATTCGCAACATATAAATAGGCTCTTAATTATCGATAATTATCAACAAATCGATGCATTTATTTCAAAAGTAATTGGAACAACCAACAGTTGTTTTCTTTCTCTTTCTTTTTTTTTTGTTTTACCATATTTTTATTACATTACAGTTGTACCACCACAAGAATGTGTTAATTGTCTTCTTATGTCATCTTTCGTTCTCTATGATATGATACATACATTTTTTTGTGCCATAAACTAAACCAACAAAGTACAGATCAATAAATAGTTTATGGTACTTATTGATTGTTTTTTATGTATTTACATAATTCATGAAAATGTGGACACGTAATGCAAATCGATAATTATAGACGAATCGATGAATCAGTGCATTTACTTCAAAAATAATTGCAAAAAGAGTTGTTTTCTTTCTCTTTCTTTTTTTATATTTAATTTAACATTGTTTTAGTGGTACAACTGTAATGTAATGATTACAGTTGTACCACTAAAATAATGTTAAATTTCTTATAATCTCATATAAAGTGTATTGTCTATGATATGATACATTTTTTTTTTTTTTGTTTTGTGCAATAAACTAAATAACACAGATCAATAAATGGTTTATGGTACGAAAAATGTATTTCAAATTACGATTTAGATATAATTATCAATATAAAATACATACATATGTGTAATGTGATTGTTTACCTCTTTTAGTTTTTATTTAACTTTGGCAAAAAAACTTTACGCCGAGCCATCAATCGTCGTCCGACTCAACAGACAGAGGACAGAGTATACATATGTATGTAGTGTAGAAGAAACAAAAAAAATGTCGTTGGTCTGTGACTGTCAAGTGAGTGAGTGTGCGCGCGAGTCGGTCGCCATGTGAATGTTTTTTTTTGTTTGTTAATGAATAATATATACTAAGTACTGTATTCGTTTGTGCTTACATGTCCACATATGCATGTCGATGTGAAAACAAGAAATGTCCTCCTCGTATCACAGCTACTGATCCTGATGATGAGATGAAAAGGAAAAATCTACACCTAGGTGACGCCTAGGTAGACATTTTATTTTAACTGTTTCACGTCTTCTTTTAAAATGCAACGCTATATAAATACTAAGTGCCTTCTGAGTGCATAGAATACAATTTATTTGCTTCATAACATAAATTGTGCAAGATTTGTTTGGTGTTTGTCACAAAATGCAAGCTTATAGGGGGGTTATATGATTTTTGCATCACTTTTTTATAACTGTTTCCTCATATATGTGTACATTGATATGCCAGACAGTGCATCCCAAGCTTGTTTTGTTTGTTTGTTTGTTACGCAAGCTGTTCTTGAACTCTTGATGAACTACTCTTATTCATTCAGTGCTATTAAAGCCAAAAAATGATGTGAGTTTGCTTCTTGGAATTTGATATAATTTCTTTAAGGTCCTGCCGCCTGCCGCCTGCCGCAATCGGAGAGCGACCATCGTAATAAGTTCAAGTACCAGATGCTGCAACCACAGGACACAGCTTCAGCCAACACAACACAACACACATATCTCCCTCCTGTCACCGTGATGAAAAGTCAGTAACTAACTACATATATATTAAATTAACTATAATGGAATGTTTCAATCGCGCCAGGTAGCTACAGTGTTATTAATCCACATCCACTCACTTCACTAACAATATAATATAACAATATTATTGCTTAGGTTATGTATGTCTCGATGAGTTGCTTTTCACGCTGGCCGTGGTGCTTGCCGTTCATGTAAATAAATATGTTGGTGGTATATATAGTATATTCTTGTGCTGGTCTGTTTATTAAATAATATAGGGTAATGTTATAGTTTTATTTGTGGATGTGTCCTGTGATTTCATTCTGTATGAGTATTTCATTAATATATGTACAGAGTATATACATACATAATCTGCAGAACACAATATTTTTGAATGATGATTATTGATATTCAACCAGTAATTGGTACAACACAACTTCTTATAATAGAAAATATATTACAATTATTAAATTATAAGTGACAGTGGCCTTAAGCTTTAATTACATACCAAGTTTTGGTTAATTACAAATCAATATATTATTTTGCATTATTATTATTGCATTAGAGGGGTAAATTGTAGTTATTTCATTTAAATAATCATATCATGTAATCAATTAATCATAATTTATTTAAATACATACATGGTTAAACTGACTGTTTCACATCTGTTAGACAGTTACATAGTATACATCAAAACTAGTAACTTCTTATCTTCTTATCTGCTGATATATGTAGAATAAAAATTACATATAATTTGGTAAACTTTGTTTATGTGTAATATTTTGTACAATACATATTTTGTATCTCACTGTGGTGTTCATTTATAAATTTACAGAGTACCAGACACACACCAATGTGTATGATGACAGATGACTGCAAGTGAAAGAAAGAACAGCAGCAATAGACAGAAAGAAGATCTTGGAGAAGCTCTGGATACGGAGATATTGAATGAATAAAAAAAAAAAGATTAGCCTAAGTTATACCACCTCCTCCTCCTCCTCCTCCATTTATGTACTAGTAAAGCTATCTATAAGCATAAGGGATCCATAGATTGGCGAAAACAAACAAACAGACAGACAGACAGACAGACAAATGTTTTGTTTTTTATTTAATTTGTACATC